GCGAATGATGTGATAATACGTGGAATACAATTTTTACAGCATCCTCGATACACAATAAATGTAACGCGTGTGTTAAATTTTTGTTTCTCGGCGTATTATAGAATTATATATAACAAAACACATCGTCACAAAATCATGTTTATTACAATCATCATGCTGCAGTTTTCTTTTTTACACTAAAAATGCTTCGTCTTCGTGGACTTTCGATCGTATACACACTGATAGAACNGTTGATGGTAAATAGGAAAGGAGAGAAGAATACGGTAGAAGCCTCGGTACAAGAGTTTTTTTTATTCAGGGTTTATTTACAAGGGAGCAGCTTGCACGGCACAGATATTTTTTTTTATGCGTCTTCGCAACACAAGCATCAACGATATCGACGATATCTAAACGCTAAACGCTAATCGCCGACGATTTCGAGAAATCGTGGTCGCGATCGAGCTATCGCGAAGAGGGGGGGGGGGCGGCCTCGGGGGGGGAGGGGGAGGGGGAACAGGCCCCTCTCTTTTTTCCTCTTTTTTTTTTTTTTTTGCTTTTCTTTTCGAACGCGCCTTTTTCCTCTCCGCCGCGAGAGTGGTACAAGAGGGGGGAAGTACGGAGAATGGAAACATAAATAACGATAACGATAACGATAAGTCGTGATACGAAATATACAACTTATGTTACACAAACGGAACAAAGTCGATTAGTTATATACCTATAAGATCTCGTCGATTTCGTAGGTGTATAACGCGCGTGATGTATACGTATATGCATATGTATATACATACATATACATATATATATAAATATATATATTATGTATATGTATATGTATGTATATGTATATATATATAGTTATATACAGTAAAGGTCGTCATACGATCGATCGTGACGCGAAAAACGCACGTAGTCGCGTACACCTCTCCAGAGGTGATTCAACACCGACGAGCGTGTACCGTGTACGCGACTCTCCTCCTCCTCCTTCGAAAGAAGGAGAAGAAAAAGAGGGAGAGCGACGGACGACGGGATGGACACTACGAGGGCGACAGA